TTTGCTTCTTATAAAAAAAGTAATAAGTCGTAAATAACAAGTCATAAGTGATGCATAAGACTCATATGATAACTGAGGTAACCTTTACATTCTTTAATCAATAGAGGTCGCGAAAGTGCACGTAATTTTCATCACAATATTAATATTAAAGTACGAGTAACTATATAAGTGATATAAGTTCGAACGACGAACAGACAACGACAGACAACTCCTTAAAAATGACATGTAAATTTACTAAAACTCCCACAAATGTGTAGACGCGCTTCTATAAAACATTGCTACTGTAAACAATCTTATTTATCTTATATTGTTATTATATAATAATGTGAATGATTGGATGGATAGACGGATGGATGTTTGTTAGTAGGCAATCTTACTATCTTACTATTATGATAAATGCGAATGTTTGGATGGATGGATGTTTGTTGGAAGGTATCTTCAGAACGGCTGCATAGATCTTAATAAAATTTGGCAAAGAGATAGAACATAGTCTGGAAAACATATATACATCTAATTAAGTTTTAATTTAATTTCGTGCGGACGGAGTCGTAGGCACAGCTAGTATTTTATAAAATTTCATTTTGCGGGTAGTGATGTGCGTGCAGAAGCCCGGTCGGGCAGGTTTGCCGCAGCTGGAGGTGGTGTCCCGCGTCGCCGCCATCCCTATCGTCGAGTCGGGCATCGGCGTCGCTGAAAGAATATACTTCAGGATCAGGGTAAAGTCTACAACTTGTAATAATACTACTCTAGGATTAAGATGGCTCCTCATCTACCATTAATATACAGTTATTTCTTATTTTCTATAACTCTTTTGCCTTTTAAATTATGACACTTCGCAAGCAAGCACTTACTATTCCAAATTATTATGTCACAAGTCCTAAGTTCATTTTACGACGATAAAACAAATTAGTATTATTTTTACTGTCAGGATTCGAATCCACTGATCCGCTGGTACCTATCCGTGGGGGAACGTTCTCTGTCCACCGGCGTGCAAATGGCGCTGCCTGCTGTGCAGCTGCTGGAGACGCCCATTCAACAGCTGGATAAGTTCCTCTGCAAATCGCTAGATGTCGTGGAGAAGAGAGTACCTTCTATTTATTTACCTCCTCAAATGGTAAGTTACAGTCGAGAAATGCTAAAAAAATCTATATTCAATGCCTACAATTATAATCCTTTGACTTTATCGCGACTAACTGAATCCTAGAATTAACATGATTTTTCACAATAACAACAAAAGTATGTAAGAACAATACGAAGTAAATGGAGATACCTTATCTGTCCAATATTCTTTGCTTATGAGCCAATATTATGCAACAGCTTTATCTCCTCGTTCACTCACGTAGGGTTGGTGCACCAGTTCTCGTCCCCCAGACCAATCTATATTTTGTCATTTCAGTCGTCCCTCCCTTCCTAATCATGTCATCATTGTCATTTTGGAGCTGTATTGTTCTAAATAAATACCTTCCTACTTAGATGTACTCAGAGACGCGTGAGTACGTGCTCCGTCGCGCGGACTCAGTAAAGCAACTGGGTACTGCGGTGCTGGACTCGCGGATGACGGCCGTCACCGCCACCGCGCTGGAACGGGCGCTCACCACCGCTGACAAGTACGTCGACAAGTACCTACCGCCGGATTACCAAGATGCAGCTGATGGTAAGAAATTTCATGACATTATTAGTTTTAGAGCTGCTGTTACCTTCGCCCCCGATAACTCCCCTTCATGGCTATTAGGGGAGTGAAGTGGGGACAGTTAAATGGCGGTTATTTTGAATTCCAACTTTATGGCGGTAACCCGACTGATTGTCAAATCACCTCGTACCTCTTAATGTCCTATCGATATCTTTTGTTGGACGAAGCGCTTCGTGTGAAATTCCGAGTTACCATTAAGTTTGTATAGCATTATATTTAGATTTATAATATGTGTAACTATCGAAATCAATCCTAATTAGACTGTAATAAAATATGAATTTGATGTGTTAATGTGCTGTACCGATAACCTAAGGTTATGCCCTTATTTGTGACCTGCGTGTCTGCGAATTGTCTAATTGCTTCTAAATTCGGTGTAGCAATCAAGTGTGTCAACTAAAGTACTAATTAGTAGGTACTTACAAATTATAGCATTTTTTTTTAAGTATTTCATTCGTCACCGAATAAAAAGAAATCCAGATTTTTTTTTTGTTGTAATAGGTTCCCATTGCGAAAAAAACAATTGACGCGCGCTGATTTAAAAAGCAAATCAAATTTTCGATCTGTTCAAGTTTTCACATCGTGTCTAAATTAATTACTCTAGCCTAGAACATTATGTCGGATGTTGCCACGACATTTAACACCCTTATCGTATCACGTCTGGGGGTGACAAATAGCATGAGGTCGGACTTTGTGCCGCGGACGGACGCTGATAGCCGCTGCCTGCCGCCCGCCGCCCGCCGCCGTGCGAACTGTCTCGCGTTAGATATGACACCTATCGCCAGCCGGGTTACTAGGTGTCAAATGACTCATTTTATATTTTATCCCACATTTGATATGCTTGAATTGTTTGTAATATTGTCTGTTTTGTCTTTAACTATTTTTGGATATGATGTTCATATCGGGAAGTCGATATTAGTTTTTCAATTACGTAATGCTAGCCAGATTAAACGGTCAAAGACCAAAACAACAATTTTAATGATATTAGGCAAGAGCAATTTCGACAAATTCTTCTTCATAAAAATAAAAAACATGCTTTTATATATAACTTTATGGTGATGCCACATGTGACATTTTGATCTTGTGACAAAGAATGAGTGTATGTTTCTGTAAACACGATCATAGTGGTGATCATAGTGACGAGCGCGGAGGGGGAGGGTGGTGAGGTGGGGGGATCGTGCGAGGAGTCGGGGCGCGCGTGCGCAGCGCAGGCGGTGCAGCGCGGGGCGCGGCTGCGGCGCAAGCTGCAGCGCCGGCTCACGCGGCAGGCGCTCGCAGAGGCTAAGGCCATCAAGGAGCAGATACATGTGCTCGTCTATGTCGCAGAACTGGTAAGTGAAGCTTAACTCATCATCGACACAAAATATACTAGAAATTTAAGTATGTGTGTGTTTTTTCGCAATTGTAATAATCCAAGTTTTACTTAACTATGATTTAAGGATGTGTTGTGTTTAGCGGATGTAATTCTTCCTTACATTTCCACCATCAGATAGCGACAGACCCAGCTCTAGCATGGAAAAAAGCGAAGCAGCTGTACGCGTCACTGAGCTGCCCGGAGCCGGAGAACCAGGCGCGGCCGGCGACCCTCGAGGAGCTGGTCGTGCTGCTGGCGCGTGAGACTGCCAGAAAAGTGGTGCATCTCGTCAACTACACACACACAGATTTGCCCAAGTTAGTGTCAACCACTTCGACTATGTCTTTAATATAAAAACTTAAAGTAAATATTTTATGTTTTTATAGTTTATCTATCTGATTGAACTTAATATAAGTAAATTTGTTCTAGCAACATGCGTCAAGGAATGTCGTTAGTATCAAAACATCTCTCGTCTGCTGCTAACGCGCTCTTGAAGGTAATATAATTTATAACTGGTATTAAATTTGCATTTCCCTGATCTAATCTATTCACGTAAAATAGCTTCTAGCAACTTCCATTAGTACTATTATTGTTTACATTAACATCAGGCATTACCGGTCGACTCCGCGATATCTGAGGTTCGCAACTGGCGCAGTAAAGTGCAAGCCTTGCTTCAACAATTACAGGAGACTTCCAAAACTTATTTGGTAAGTATTTTAGTGGTAAAAACATGAATAAATAAATAACTATAAGAACTAAGAATAAATAGAATGTACATACAGAAAGCGTTGGATTTGATCATCATCATCGTCCTAACCGAAGGCCTCAAATCCTAAGTTAGGGTTGACTACGTCATAGTCAACCACGCTAGCCCAGTGTGGATTGACTTCAAACATCTTTGAATTTCTTCACAGACATGTGCAGGTTGCATCACAATGTTTTCCTTCACTGTGAGAATGCCGGACAAAAGTACATATAAAATTCGAAAATCGAAAAACAAATTGGTACACGGCGGGAATCGAACCAGGACATGCAGATTACAAGTCAAGCACTTAACCCCTGTTTCACCGACGCTTTTACAGACTGGAAATATTAGTGTAAGTTTGTTCAAAACGTATTTAAAAGTAAATCATTGATTTATTTCAAGGAGCACCTCGCCATATTTTTAGCGGGCAACGAAGAGCGGGAAAAAATAACGCCGCGTTCAACTTACGCGCACAGAGACGATTTGGCGGCATTCAACGGTGTCAATTGAAAATTAATGTTTTATATTGCTAGCATATTTTTATTAATATATATAGGTATCACAATAACGTTTTTATTTATCTTTGTGTTTAACCATGAAAGGGTTTGGACTTATTAATTTTTTTTTAAAGTCACGTAAAATGTAACAATTTTATTCCACGTGAATTGTACACTGAACAGATTAATATTAAATGATATGTTTTTAATTAAAAATGTTATTTTACATGAAAATCAATTAATAAATCCATGATATATGAATTGTTGCTTTATTTCGATGACCGTTATTCAATAAAATGATGGAAAAAAATGGTAGCGTCGTAACAACACTGGGCTGGATCGCGGAGAAGTACCTACATCGAATTTAAAAACATAAGAAGGGCGTTAACCATTTAGTGACTAAAAATAGAAATATAGCTTGCTTTAAATGTATGCTTAATAAAAATAAATAATTGTGGATGCCAATACTAGGTATCAAAGCTCAACGGCGCGAGTATCACCAGCCGCGAGTCAAACGCGCCTAGTCCTATCGGTTGTCGTGCTTACGTCGTGGCAGGAGGCTACCGGGTGGGTAAATAAAAAAAAACCTTTAGGGCCTGGCCTTTCTGGCCCCTTATATTGAACGCCTATTTTTGCTATAGAGTTTTTGCTTAAAACCTCTATACATATTTAACTTATTTATCGATAACTGGCAATTAGTTTTTGGTAAACACGAATTGACAGTTAAATAATAATAGTTTGATATGAAATAGTAATAGGATACCTATTACTTTAGATAAGTAAAATTTAAGTTATGTTGTAAGGAAACTAGAGAAATCTTTGTAACCGGCAGTTCTTTCGTTGGCTATTGTTAAATTCATGATATAAGCAATGTCATTGGTTGATAAGAAAATCCACAGTGTTTTCTCCGTATGTATTGATCTTTTGTACCAAATTATCAGTTTTAGTATTTTTAATTAAAGTCATTAAACTTATAAATAATATAATCTACATTACGATATTTGATATCTTTGCATCTAATTTATAATTTAAATTTTAGATGGACATCAAACATTTAGAAGAAAAAGGACTCACAGCAGAAGATGTAGATAAAAAATGGAGACACCATTTAGTTATTTGGTTAATGATGATCGCTATAATTTTATGGATATGCACATATATAACAGTTTTATCGTTACTAACATTTGTTGACTTTGGAATTTCTACAAGAACAATTCTAAAAGAGGCTTTATTTTGTTCAAATGGCACTAATAGAACCTGATCTGACAAATTCTTTACTATGTGTGAGTTTTAATATTTGTGGTTGTTTTTCTTGTTGTACAGTACACATAATTACTCTTCTTATATTGTGTTTTAATTGTTACATCCCTGTCATAAAATAAAAAAATCTGGGATGACAGAGAACTTATTTATGCAGAGCCACTTATCCATCAATAAAAAATAAGTTCTGATGTCAAGCCAACGCTAACCATAAGCAATAGGCATCACAAGCTACAGAGATGCAGAGTCGTTGCATATCTTAAATGTGCAGAGAACATTTCCCTTTCATTTTCATTTCAATTCATTTTCCCTTCCCATCCTTTGGATGAGAATGGTCAGAAGTAGGAAAGATTAGATGTCGACGTCTGCAGCACCTTAATCATCAGACAAAATGAAGCATAAATCTCTTCACGCCCGTCTTCTGTGAAGCCGTAGTATTTCACCGGCGTACTTATTCTGGACTTAAATAAAACACTTTATAATCAATTCACAAGCTGAAAAATAACTTTTACAATTGTTTATACTTTTTAATTTATTTTAGACTTTTTGTTTTTTTTTGTACCTTAAAGATTTGACCCAACCTTTTTGAGAATTGGCTAAAAGGTCTCATTATCATGGCCTTAAATCTTATAAAATAACATTAGACGTATTTTATATACTCTTTGTTAGCCTGCTCTTTCGAGTGAATAATAAAAACAACAACTCTTTGTTAGACAGATGACACCGAGCTGACACTTGAGAGAGTATTATGTCAATGTCAAGTGTCACTTCTAAATTCCAATAAAAAATAAACAATTCTAGTCTGTTCTTCCAATTTGTTGTGTATGACTGTATACACTGAAAATAGAAATATTGATAATTCAGTTGTAGATATAAAACAGATCTTAAAATGAGTGATTGGCAATTAGAATGTACGGAATTAAAGCAAAGAGGTGCATATCTTTTGCAATCTGGCCAGTGGTCGGATTGTACCTTCTTGGTGGGCACGGAGCCCCACCAAGTGGTGATCTCTGGTCACAAATTGATCTTGGCGATGTCGTCCCCCGTATTCGAGGCCATGTTTTACGGTGGGATGGCGGAGAGGAATGAACCTATACCTATTTTGGATGTGCAAATTGAAGCATTTAAAGCATTACTGGAGTAAGTATTTAGGAAGTTTTGTTCTCAGTACTGTCATCTTTAAATACTTTATATAATTTCAATAATATCTGTAGAATATATATCTTCAATGCAACATTTTATTTTCTAGATACATCTACACTGGTAATATAAACATAAGTTCATTTGACAAAGCATGTGAGTTGTGCTATGGAGCTAAGAAGTACATGCTGCCGCATCTTGTTAAGGAGTGTACCAGATATCTCTGGTCAGATCTGTATCCAAGAAATGCTTGCAGAGCGTATGAGTTTGCAAGGCTCTTTGAAGAAAATGTCCTTATGGATAAATGTATACAGGTAAAAAAGATTAACAAAATTATGAATATACATAATTTTAAATTACAATTACTAACTATATAGATGGCCAGTTAGAATCTAAGTGTATATTTGTACATTTTATAACAAATGATTTTAAATTGTTATACATATTTAATAATGATTTTTTTATTCATATCAGATAATTAGCACAAACACTAAAGAGGTTCTAAATGACAACAGTTTTGAGGAAGTGGAATTAAACACAGTTATAACAGTATTCTCCCTGGATCATCTGAATGTTGACAGCGAACTTGATCTATTCGAAGCAGCTGTAAGATATGCTAAAGCATTAGACAAAAGGACAACGGAGAGAAGTGTCAGTCCTCCCGCAGAAGTCGTAGAACCCCAAAAGAGTCCGGCACCATCTACTTCTAACGATCAAGTATGTATAATACTAGATAAATATGTACCAACATACGTAAGGAAAATAGATCGATCAATCAATCAGGAAACACTTGACATTTCTCTTATTCCCTTTTAAATAGTGTAGGTTACTGCTCTGATCACTTATGGGAACTTTGCACAGACATAATGATACAGCTCAAACAAGTATTTATATATTTAAATAGTTTGAATAATATATAAAACAAAACACATAGTATAGTAATTATACTTATTTTCTCATTTTTAAGTAATATATTTTTTCATTCTCAGTCAGAGCCAAGTACCGCTGTAGTAACAATTGAGCCAAAAGTAGTAAACATAGAAAGTAGTGCAGAGAACAGTCCGGAAGCTGTAACAGAGGCTTGTCGGACAGACAGTGACCAGCCTGAGATTGTGTCAGATCCTGTACCTCCACCTGAAGAGCCTAAGAAGACGAGAGGTTTGTTTTATAAATTTGTAGAAAGTATATTGTAAAATATTATCTGCTATTTGTCTTTCTTGTCTTGAAGTTGTGCATCGGGACCAAACTATGACTTGCTTATGTAAGTTTAACTGTAGGATGAATAAAAATCAATTACAGATGGCAAAGAAAAACCGACAATCCGCAGCGCAATAGAGAAGATAAGATTCCTGACGCTTACACCTCAGCAGTTTGCTGAAGGTCCAGCTCGCTCCTCATTACTAACAGAATCTGAAGCGTTTGCGGTGCTCATGAACATCCTCTCCAGTAACTCGGATGTGCCCATGCCCAGAGGATTCTCCACTTGCAGAGTGCCCAGAAAACAGCTGATTGGTGGAGGACCTTCTTGTAATGTGAGTGTGACTTTAGTTGTATGATTGTTCATTTAGATTAATGATTCCTTTTTTGTCTAAAATGTCAATCTGTTACAATAATTTATGTAAACAACTAGATTATATTATTATTTAGTCTTAAAAAACAAATGGCTGACTTGCTATTTCCAAAAAAATCAGATAAAACATTTTTTTTAAAATTTTCAATTCACTATACTTCATAACTGAAAAAGTGGTATATCAAAATGGCCGCCATGTATGGAGTTTTTCTTTGTTTATTTGGGCGTTAGATTGTTATATTGTTTGTCATCAGATGCCAACATTCACGGTGGACACGCCAAGCCCCGTGTCCGTGGAACAGGCCTGGAACATCCCCATGCCCTGCTACATGTACCAGCGTCCGCCACGACATGACGGTATTGTATTATCTATACTAGCTGGCGCCCGTGACTCCGTCCGCGCGGAATTAAAATAAACTTAATTTGTAGGTGTTATTCATCTATGCCAAATTTCAAAGAAAACTATTAAGCCGTACTGGAGATTCCTTCTAACATCAATCCATCCATCCATACATCTAAACATTCGCATTTATAATATTAAGATGTCTATTTGCCATAATTGTATTCATTTATTTAATGTATAGCAATGCGTCTTTCATCAATGGTGAACAACCAGTCTCTCTCGGGGCTGGGTGTGCCGGAGCCTGCGCTGGACCTCAACAAGATCTACTGCCAGCGCCCGCTGATACATCACACTGACTGCATGAACACCAGCATCCTGGATTGTTCGGCTACATTCATGGTTGATAAGAACATCTGTCTACTGGGCGTTCAGGTAGAATGTCTTAATGCCTAACTTAAATCAATCCATTATTTTTATCAATTATTTTATTACAAAAAAATCAATGAAAAAAAATCTAAATGGCCAGAATGACAGAAAAATTTTGACAGGTGACAGCTCACTTGGCGCTAGCGCCATCTATTTTTCGTCAAGTTGAGAGCAGCACCGTCTAGTTTCATTTTATAAAAGTAGTTAACTGTACATTAGGTGCCAACGCAAGCCCCTAGTGAAGAGGCGGGCGGTACTAACTCTGGTGTGGTGGGTGGTGGTGCGGGTGGCGCGGGAAGTGCGGGCGGCTACTGCGAGCTGCTGTACGCTCACCTGCTGGATGCGGACGGTGCTCGTCTGACTTACACGCACTATACAGGCCGCGTACCATACCGACATCTGCTAGACATTATGTTCAACAGACCTGTATATATACAGAGGAATAAGGTCAGTTCACTATAAATGTGGAAACTTACAGATTGTTGCAGTTAACATATTACTCGACTCAGATTTTCACCATATTACTATACAAAGCACACAAAAAAATAAAAAAATGTATTTTTCCAGCTGTAGTTTCAGCCTTCCCACCTCTTTTTTAACTCCAGCACAGTCGATACTTAATACATATTTTTTTTAAATCGCTAGAACGACGTGTGTCAAACGATTTGACAGATGACAGATGTCAGTGGCATCCTGGCGCTTCCAATTTTTGTTTCATAATTTAATGTTTTTTATATCCGACAGGTATACAAGGTTGGTATAGTGTTCAACAAAGTTGGATGGTACCCGATGGGTCGGTGTGCTCAGCAAGTGGCCACTGACTCCGTCTTCTTCAACTTTGGTGTGGGTCAGAGCAGTGACTCTGTCCGGGATGGGTTGATACGATCCATTATATTCACCTATTAACACGTAGTTGACACGGATGAAGAGGTATTGTGGATATACTGAACTGTTAACACATTTATTGCTAGCAAGTTTGTTTTCATACTAAATAATAGTGGCATAGAATGTGTTAAGCGTAAACTATGATATAAGAGTAATTTAGTGAACCGTGTGACAAAATCGTAAACTAAAAATCCGTAGGAAAATTACTGTAACAATCATAAAAACGTGTTGTTTCTTTATTTTTCTCAGATAAAGCTTAAGATGAACTTTTTATGTGAATGTTTCAGTATTATAAACTGATTGGTACACAATTGTAAATATACCAAAAACACTTATTATGAAATAAGGCACTGAATATCTTGTTATTTATTTTAAAAAATGTCAAAAAGAGGTTTTAAGATTAATGCACATTAGGTGTGGGTTTTTTATGTGTTAATATCGTAATAAGAATCATATTTAATTGACTATTTTTTCACTTTATCTTAAAATTGTTTGATAAATAAGTGAAATAGAAATGTATTCAACTTAAGCATAATAAGTCGAAATGAATTTAAATTTGCAATCTGCAAAAAATATGGTTTTATTGTTTTCAATGTTTTAATAAATGTTTGATCAAAAGCTATTGGTTTTGTTTGAATTTAAATTATCATTTGAACTCTGCTGTGAAGCTATACAGACTGCACTAAGTTGGCTGCCATCCAATCATTCTGCTAATATGGTCTATGGATTATTTTCTATCTATGAAATCCATTTACTCTATAATGATTTTTAACCTATACCTCTACTCTATAATCTTTGAGTGTTTGCAAAATGTCAATTGTTTCTGAAATTCTGTAATTCATAGAGAACTAAATATACTGCTGTAATTTTATTTACCGACAATGGTTTGTACATAACAGAATTGGTGTTATTCGTGAGATAGTTAAGGCAGAAGAAAGATTAAATAGCTAAAAGTTAAGTGTAAAAGATAAAACGTAAGGCGTCATGCCTTCGATAGACGTAATGGTGCCGCCAGGGCAACCGCCAGAAGTAACGCCAGAGGAGCCCCAGCCGCCTCCGCCGCCTGTAATTGGTATTATTTACCCGCCCCCTGAAGTAAGAAGTATCCTTTTTCAAGTATAATGCGTTATTACAGCGTAAGACTAACATAACCTATACGATGTTATGATAACAAAGCTTGTGTTTGTAAAATCTATGTGAAGTATTGTTTTAGTATTTTAAAGTCTCATACATATTTGTTGTAATGTAAAACGTTTATATTCATGTTTTGTTAACTAGTTAGATGCTTATCGGGCTTAAAATTAATACAGTATGTTGAACTTTTTAACTTTCTTTCAGTGTATGTGAACAGTTAACTGGTTATATAAAACCCGTGAATCATAAACGTAAGGCAAGTTCTTATAGTTTTATTTATATGTAAAATGATAAGTTTTTTGCATAAATGTACATCTCTTGTTCAAGAATTTCTTTAACATAACACTTAGACATCGTCGACAAGACTGCCAGTTTTGTGGCACGTAACGGACCGGAGTTTGAAGCTCGCATCCGACAGAATGAACTGGGCAACCCAAAGTTTAACTTCTTGAACTCGGGTGATCCATACCATGCATACTATCAACATAAAGTAAAGGAGATTAGAGAGGGGAAAGGTTTGTAATTACGTTTTTTATTTTGATTTTTAACTTAACAAGCACATCATAAACAGGATTTTTCGATTAATATTATAAAATCATAAATTTTATTTAAAAAAAAAATATTTTTCTTAAACTGCATGAACAACATACAATAAAGAATGTTTTCTTATTTAACATCTGGAGAACCAAAAGCTTATATTATTTTGTTCAGTGGTGACAGAACCTCTTCTTTGTAACACCTTTGTATTTAATTTTTCGTCTCTAGGACCCGACCCATCTGCACCTGCCTCTGGCCCGCCCATACAACGGCCCGGGCTCGCCCCGGCTACTGCTGCTCGTCAGCAGGAGCTGCTCAAGGCTGCGGCCCCTGCAGAGCTTCCACCACCACGCGATCCCCCTCCGGACTTTGAGTTCATAGCTGACCCACCATCAATATCTGCTCTAGAACTCGATATTGTTAAACTTACTGCCCAATTTGTTGCTCGTAACGGCAGACAGTTCCTAACGGACCTCATGAAGAAAGAGGAGAGAAATCACCAGTTTGACTTCTTACGACCTCAGCATTCTCTCTTCCAATATTTTACGCGACTTCTAGAACAATACACAAAAGTATTATTACCACCAAAAGAACTGGTTTCGAAACTAACTGCAGAAGTGAGGAGCGGGGTGCTGGAGCAAGCGCGCAGTCGAGCTGCCTGGCACTCGCACCAGGCACGCCGCAAGGCCGCAGACGAGGCCCGCATTGAGAAAGAGAGACTAGCATATGCATCCATCGACTGGCATGACTTCGTCGTAGTTGAAACCGTTGACTACCCGGCCGGTGAGCCGGGCGACTTCCCGCCGCCTACTACTCCTCTAGAAGTAGGAGCTAGAGTGTTGGCAGAAGAGAGAGGAGAGGACATATCTCAGGGCATAGAGGAGGATGATACCGAGATGCAGTTGGAATCCGAGTCTGACTCCGACACGGACGAGGAGCTGGCCGAGATGGAGGACAGAACGCAGCAGCAGCAGAGGCCCGACGACAACCGCGTCCAGGACATGGAGGAGGACAGTTCCTCTTCAGGCGACGACACTCCGCCGGAGCCGAAGCAGCCGGACGAAGCGCCGCTGCCGCCGCGGCCCGACCGCGTCGTCGTCAAAAAGTACGACCCGAAGCGCGCCCGACCGCAGCCCACGCCTGCCAGCGAAGAGTGGCTCGTGTCGCCCATCACCGGGGAGAAGATCCCTGCCAATAAGGTGGCCGACCACGTGCGCATCGGTCTGCTCGACCCGCGCTGGCTGGAGCAACGTGACCGCGCCGCCGCCGAGCGCACCGACCGCGACGAGGCGCTCGCACCCGGCGCCGCCATCGAGGCATCGCTCAAACAGGTTACTGCTCGCTACATGTCACATATTAAACTAAATATTATTTCTGTCTGTTTTAACACATTTTAACTTTGTTTAACAGTTGGCAGAGCGTCGTACTGATATCTTCGGTGTGGGAGACGAGGAGACGGCTATCGGTAAGAAGATAGGCGAGGAGGAGAAGCGACGGGACGAGCGCGTCACGTGGGACGGGCACACGAGCAGCGTGGAGGCGGCGACGCGGGCAGCGCGCGCACACATCACGCTTGAGGACCAGATACAGCAGATACACAAGGTCAGCACATGCACAGTATCTGAACATTCTATGCAATCATTCGTAATATTTTTTTTTTTCAAAAATCTTTATTTTTACTGTTTTAAAATCAAAACAATATTTCAAGACATCTTTGTATTCTTTTCAGGTGAAAGGGTTACTTCCTGATGAGGAGAAAGAAAAGATCGGACCGAAACCAGTGACGGCGCCGAGCATGTCGCGCGCCCAGCCCCGGCCTCCGCCGCCGCCGGCTCCACCCCGCGCTGCAGCCCCCGCTCCCGCACCCGCTCCAGCGCCTGTGCTGCTGCAGCCCATACCGCCACTCATGGTCATTCCACCACTGGCTCCACGACCGCCGCTCATCCCCACGCCTGTGGGTGCGCCGTATGGGTACGCGGCGGTGGCGCCCCCCGTGCCCGAGGAGCCGGAGGAGCCGACCGCCAAGCGGCCGCGTACTGAAGACGCGCTGGAGCCCGAGAGCTCTTGGTTAGCGAGACATCCCGGACCAGCACCGATACAGGTTTAAAAGATAGCACTGTTGTTCACATATGATATTCTTCCATGTAAATATAAATGTAGTTAATAACGTGTTTTTATTTCTTGTGTAGGTGTCTCTGCCATCGCTGCCGGAGCGCACCGAGTGGCGTCTGGACGGGCGTGTGCTGCCGCTGTCTGTGGCGTTGTCAGCCACTGCGGCCGACCTCAAGGCGTTACTGCAGCGCGCCACCAACATGCCCACCGCCAAACAGA